CTGCGGAAAGGGAGAATGTAGAAGAAAATACATTTTTATCATAATTTCAAGTTATAGCTTCTTTTTACTCCACCTAAACAATGAAGGAAGAAAAAAAAAAATCCCAACTTCAACGTCCTCTGTGAAGCTGATACTATAATACATATAAAAAGGTGAAGGTCCCTGTTTAAAGTAACACAATCAACAATGCAGAACAAAGTTGAAGTCTTCTTGCTTCGAAATCCCACGTTCTGCAGGCTGCAGTCATCCCTTCCTTGAAATCTACTGAAACCTCTGCTCGTCTCCAGTTGAGACAACATTAACGTATAACAGAATTATTCTATGCAACTATGTAGACCAGACAGCAAGACACGCCAGAGACCTGTAACAAATTAAATTTAAAGTGCCATTTCCTTTCTTGTGCTTTACAGGGGAAAACCAGTTTTAACTTCTAGGTTTTCTGATGACAGCCAGAAGCTTGCTTTTTTTTTTTTTTAAAAAAAATGATTTTTTTTACAGAGAATTATCCAGACTTCAACATAAACTGACTCCTTTAGGAAAAACTAACATTTTGCTGAGTTAAAATGAAATAAAATCTGAGCCAGCTTGCTCTATGTCAGCTCAGGGAGATAAAGTAAAAGGCTTCTCTTAGGAGTACAAAACAAAGAATGCTTCTGCGATTGGTAAGGATGAACCTTTTGTACCAGGTCCAACCATAGGTTAAACCAATCCCACCCCTTATTGCTAAAAACCACCAATAGCAGATACATAAGGAATAGCATAAGAGAAAGAACCCAGTAAAAGTTTTCCAGAAGATTTTTCCCAGCTTTTGGAAATAGCTCAAGGGCCTCCTGAATCACTGCCTCTACATTCAGTGGGGATGGATGCATTACTACCCCATCCCAATGAACTTCAAGTGCTTTTCGAACCAAGGCAAACTTTCAGCATCCACAACACCCTGCAGACCACCACCACACTGTATGAAAAAGTTATCTTATTTTTCTTGCACACACACACAAAACCCATTCTTTTTTAATGCCTTCTACTTCTTGTATCAAGAGAGACTAGAAATAATTATTCTGCATTCAACTTTTCCATGCCACTCATGATTTTATAGACCTCCATCACATCACCTGCAATCAAACTCTTTTCCAAACCACAGTCCTAATTTACTTAGCTGTTCCTTGCATGGAAAGCACTCCACATCTTTGTTGCTCTTCTTTGAATGGCTTCCAGGTCCTTTTTGAAATGAGGGGGTGGAGGAAAATGGGACAAATGGGGAGGGAGATGAAACCAGTACTGCACACTGTATTCAGGATGCTAGATGAACACGAATTTATACCGAAAAAAGACGGTATTTACCATCTCTGTTCTTTGCTCCTTTTTTCCTCAAGTTCTGTTTGCCTGGAGCACTACTGAGCACTTGAGCACTGAGCAGTCATTTCCAGAAAGAGATCATCCAAGCATTATTATTTTATTCTACACTACTAAGTCAATACACACATTGTATGCAAACTTAAGATTGGGTTTTTAGCATCTGCATCACTTAACATTATTTGGCAGTGGATTTAGTCTTCCATTGTTAACTGAGAAGTCAACTTGGTATCACAAGGTCTTTCTGCAACTCTTCTCAAACAGTTCCTGCTTTTATCACCCCTGAGCAGCTCAGCACTGTCGAACTCTGCATTTCAGACTATCAGCTGTTGACGTGTCTGCAGAATATTTTGGCCTCTGTTTCCAAAATTTGGTTTTGTTGCTCCTGCAAAGAAGTTTAACCTAACCATAGCAGGATTCCTGGTACTTTGACAGAAATATTACGAATCAGTAGCTTAGTTTCAAGTTACTTTATTTCAAATGTTTTGGAACTTGTGTGGAAGAACACACAAACTTTAGTTTTCCATTTTCAAAAACCTTGTTAAAACAGGGTTTGACTATGTCTACTCTTAAAAGTTTTTTTTGGTTTTGTGTTTAGGTTTGTTTTTTTTTTGAGGGGGGGGGTGTGAATGTCTTTCCTATTATTTACCGGACTATGCAGACATTTTCATGTTTGGTTTTGCAGCTCATACTCTAAAGGATCAGACAACCTGAACACTGTGTTCTTTCATGTCTGTCAGCTTTATCCCTTTCTTCAACTTAAAAATACATTCTTCGATAATCTTTTGAAAAGTATGAGAAGTCTGAATCAGTTTTTGTTTGGTTGGTTGGTTTTTTAAGATGAAACCTCAAATCCTTTCCAAATAACTTCATTTATTCCAGAGACCTCTTGTCTTTCACCGTTTCTCCAGTCATGTCATATCCCCATATTATCCCACTCGGTGCCAAGCCCACCAAAACACTTGCCGTTGCTCTTGCAGAGGGGAGATTTTATGCCCACATGGGCAGATCAGAAAAACTGTGGGGAACTTCACGCCAACAGCAAGGTATATAGCACTCCCTAAAATGTGTGCTGAAGTCCATAACACAGAAATGGAAGAGTCCATTAAGAGATACAGTTAGGGTTCACTTCCCCCAACTTTGGATATCTAAAAGCCTGATACCCAGTCTAAGCTAGTCACCCTATGATCCGTTTACGGTAAATGGAGGAAGAAAAAGGCAGCTCCAAAAAGCAATTCAACGAACAGATTTTAGGATGAGGAAACCCTGCTCTAGACTCGCATAATAAAAGAAAGGTACACCTAACATCAGAGCAAGCTTTTTGGAAGCAGTATGATCAGTGCATCTGATCACTAGGTTTGAGTTTTATTGTTATATAGATTAACAATGTAAATCACTACATATTTAATACTGCATGGTGAGAAAATTCCACGGATTCACAAATCTTCTGTGGATTTAGTTTTGGTCTCTTGCACAACTGTTGCCCTAGCAGTCCTAGTACCACTCTCCTTGTCACATACAAATTATTTATGACAAATGTTTCATAAGTGACATTAGAAAGACAGACAGTGCTCAACAAGACAGCTACTTCATCAGCAGATGCTTCACCATGAAAAGTCCTAATTTAGGACCTGACCTAACATAGACACCTGGTCTATGTCTTCTGGAGTCAGCAGACACAAATGAGCCTCAAGTGAAAAAGCTAGTCCTTAGCTCTGGTTTTGCAAGTGAACCTAAGATTTATTTCTAAAAGAGGAAGGTGTTAATCTGTTGCCTCACATTTCTTAAATAACTTAATGTTAATAGACATGGAATAACTTTCTACCAAAAAAAGCTACTCCAGGATCGCATTGAGATCTTCAGGCACTCGCTTACGTGAGTACTGAGAATACCACTACAGCCACTGCGAGGGAAAACACAAAACCACTTCTGGAAAGGATAATGAATTGTCACAGACCTTCCATTAAGTTCACTCTTACAATGCTCTGTGTGGAAAGCTGTCCATGCCACATTTACTTCTGATGTGGCATCTCTACCATCCTGTGAAACACAGGGCAGCAGTCTGACACAACCCGGGCCTTCAACACGCGGCCCGGCAGGGGCAGGCGTGGAGGGCGTCCGCACCCATTCCTAACGCCTCCCGTTTCAAGGCGTAATTGTTTCCGTTGTAACTACGAAAAGATTCTGTGTGCACAAAGAGAACGCTCAGGACTCAAAACATATTAAATGACTACATTTGAACTTTAAAACAATTTATTATACTAGAAAAACAAAGCATGGAAACCGCCAGATAGTAAGGTACTTAGTTAGGGAATGCAAGCGCAACTGAAAAAACCAAAGCCTGGGACCGGAGCAGCATCCCAGCTTCAACTGAGCAGAATACTCAAAAATAGACAACCATGAAAACAACGCACGATAAAAGTAACAGTGTGTTTTCTGCCACCTATTGGCATTGTTAGCAAACAATTAAGAAACAAAGGACTACACCACTTGCAAGGTACTGCTTCTATTGTCTTATAAGGGAATGCACCGATGGTTCACCCAAACTACCCTTGGAGAATGACATGTAAAGCAAGTTTCTTTATGCAATTGTTTCGCTCTAATGCAGTCACTGCTGAAGAAAGCGCTGGGAACTTTGCTGGTCACAAAACACAGGTGAAAAGAGACTGAAAAACTCTGCTTAAAACTAAAAAACAACAGCTTAGAATAAAAATAAGCATTCAAATTCAACAGCTTACTATTATACTCATTTTCAACTACTAAGAAATAAAGATCAAAACCTACAACTTTCACTGAACAGTACATTTCTCAATAAACTATACTTAAAAGAATGGCGATCTAAGTTGTTGCCTAAAATAAAAAAACCAAACATGTTACGTAGATACTAACTAACTAAGTGTCCCTTCAATTCATATAGAAAACAGTTAATGTCATTTGTATAGACTTCCTACCAATTATAATTAACATTAAAGAGGTCTTTTCTTCTTTGTCACCTCTCTATTCAGGCCTTATTTGCGTTTGTTTGTACTTACTATCTGTTAATCTCTCTTAACAAATGACAACAATAACTGTTGCTATTATGCATGGAAATTAAACATGTAGATAACTGTGTGAAGGGAGCTATTTTTGAAAAAAGCAGTATCAGAAACATGTAGCTCTTTATGTCTCCTGTTTTGCTTTGATAATTAAGCCATAGCCTTGATTTGTTTTCAACAAAAAACTTTTCCATGGACATGCATGTTGCAATCAAATTCAATACATGCATTATGTTCTGATTCAATTTGTTCAAGTGCATTATTGTTAACCCTTATTTGATCTATGCCTGTCGTCTTCACTAACCAAACAAAACCAATCCTTCATTTCCCAGCAGCTATCACTGAGTCTGTAAATTAATTTGCAATACATCAAACAATCATAACAGGAAACCTTTAGTTTTGCTCTACTTGGTATCTGCAACACTGTGGGAAATGAAATACAAGTTGATGGGGCAGGGGGAGGGAAAGCAACTAGCATTTCCAAACATTCTGTCTACAAATGCTTAGTTCATCTTAAAGTACAAAAAATGTATGCAAAAAAACCCCTGAAGTAAATGCACAATATAAAAGAAAATCCCTGAAGAGTACTATGTCCACAAACTGTAGCTAATG